TGTGCTGCGGGGAGAGATAAAGTGTCTTCTGCAGATTGCAGAGATGGAGTTTGGTTCTCACTGGCAGCAAATTATCAGCACTGTGGGGAGGGGTCCAAGCTCCCTACCACCCTCTACTCCAGTACTGACTCAATCTCCCTGCTCCAAAGTCCTTCCTCCTCTTCCTGGCCCTCTGTGACTGTTGATAACAGAGCAGGGCACAGGGTGTTGGTGATGGAGAGTGATGCTTATGGCCTCAAGTTGCGTCAGGGGAGGTTTAGATTGGATATCGGGGAAAATTTTCTTTACTGAAATAGTGGTGAACCATTGGAACAGGCTGCCCAGGGATGTGGTGGAGTCACCATCCCTGGAGGTGTTCAGAAAATGTGTAGATAAGGCACTTCAGGACACGGTTTAGTAGGCATGGTGGTGATGGGTTGATGGTTGGACTTGATCTTAGAGGTCTTTTGCAACCTTAATGATTCTATGATTCTAATGGGTCCTGTCCTAAGATGTTGCTCATAACTCTCCTCTGCCAAGCATGGACCAGCTGGGAGCTGTGGGAAGCCACCAGGCTGTGAATGTGAGCTTCTAATTTGCTCTGAGATGCTCATGGTCTGCATGAGCGCGGACTCTCATGCAGAACCGTGTGAAGAAGACCCGGCACGTCGGCTTTTCTGAGACCCTTCTTTCCTCCGTCCCTCGGGTTGGCATTGCTCCAGTTTGGCCCATGGCTCGAAGGGAGGAGATGCAGAAAACTGAGTCAGCTCCAAGTGCTTGCAAAGTTGCTCGCGTAAAAATAACTCGGCGTTCTTTGGGATGTGCATCATCGGCATCATCCGTCTGTCTGTCTGCTCTGTACTTTTGTGGCCTGATCCTGCTGGTAGGCTTTGTGGCATTTAGATAACAGCCCAAGGAAACGCGCTTGCTGGTGTCTTCCTTTTTTGCTCCTTTGGTTGCCCCCAGGAGAAAACCACATTCTTTTCCCCCCTGCTTTCACTCCCTCCCAGTTCTGAACCTGAATCTCTGGTTGATTTGCTGTGAGCAGGAGCACGATGGACCAAGAGAGTTTGGTCGCTGCTTAGGAGTAACATCAAGTGAAACATCTCCTCCCATCTCGGAAAGATGCTCTCAGACAGGGACCCCCCAGGGGAAATTCAACCTCTGCCCTTCTAACACCTTCTTGCACAGATTTTTCCAGATTGCTCACGGATTAAACGAAATCTACCATAAATGTTTGTCTTGTTGCTAACGGCAGTTTTGACCTTCGCTTTCCCACAAATACTTTGAGCTGATGTTGGAGGATCGTGTGGCTCTCTGCATGGGGCAGATGGAGGTCAGGAAGGTTTTGACTTACTGGATCCTCTCCAGTTCTGTGCAGAGAGAAGTAACTATGCACCAAAAATACATATTTGCCTCAGTTAAATTCCTCTTAAAGCAAGAGAATACGTTCAGTGCTCCAGGGGAGAAAAGAGTCAACTTTTTGGCTTCGTTGGGGTTCGGGATCATGCGCAGGGGAGAAGGGAGGGACAGCTTGGTAGCAGCATGACAAAGTGCATGGCCATGCACGTGGGAGCTAGAGGGAAAAGGTGTGCGAAGGATGGAGGAGTAGACAGTTACGTGTGTAGAGAAGTGGAGTTAGAGCTGCAAGAGGTGTCCAGAAGTTGGATGCTGGAAGATCTGAGCCTGAAACAGAGGGATGGGCACGGGGCGACCCACGGATGAGCCATCCTGAGGGGCAGGAAAAGGCAGGAATGGACTGGTATGGAGCCCAGGGGTGCAGCCTGCAAAACTAAGAATGGCTGAGTTTCCCCCAGTGAGCTCCCACGCTTCAGAAACTCTGCTTTTGTGGGGGGAAGAAGGCCTGGCGCAGGGGGGGTTAGGCAGCATTTATGCATTCAGAGAGGATTAAGCCATGAAACTCCCCAGGAGCAGAAGATGACCCTTTGGTTTCCCTTCCCGCAGACCGGACTGGGGGCTGTAGGATCTTCTGGCTGGAAGTGACTCAGCGCAGGAGTAGCTGAGCTGATGCACGGGATGATGGAAAGATGCTTCCTGCTAACCCAGCCACAGCCGTCAGGATCCTTGCTCCATCACGGTGAGTCACCGGCCTCTCATCCTTGGGTTACTGGTGCTAGCCCAGATCCAGCTGGGTACTGGGAAGCACTGGGATGAAATGCAGAGCTCCCAGTGAAGCCCTCACTGACAACGTGCCCACCGCACGTCTTGTCTCCTTCCCTTTAAATGCATCAAGCAGATCTGTGGCATCGCGGTGCCCTGGTCATCACCAAAACCTTCTCACGGGGTACAAATCTTGGTGCCTCCAGCTGCAGGGAGCCAGGGGAAGGTTGTCCCCGGCCAGATGTGAGCAGCAGTGCGGGGCGAAGCGCGTGGAGGTAGCAAGGCAGAGGGCAGAGGTTGATTTGCACCAGGAGAAGGAGCTGCACATCTGGAGCCAGGGTCGAGTCCCGCAGCTGGGTCTGCAGAGCCAGGGAGCTGCGGTGAGCCGGGGTGGGCACCTCACGAGGTGCCTCTCTGCCTGGCATTTAAATCCAGGGCAAGAAATTAAGGGCAAGAACGACAGAGGTTTTTATTTGCTCCTGAGGTACAACACAACAACAGGTATAAGCACAACTACTCGCGAGCTACAAAGCTGATGGAGCCAAAGTGTTCTCGGTAGTGTTGGGGGATACGGCCAGGGGTGAACAGAACACCTCCTGCCTGGGCAGAGGAGCTGGTCCAAGAAATATTTGCTGAAAGGATGAAGTAGACTGAGGGTTAGGCTGCTCACCAAGCAGGAACGGGTTTGCTGCTCGCAGGAATACCTGAGCTGTAGGACTTCTGTTTGCTCCTCCCAAAGAGCTTCTCTGCCTCCAAAGACTGCCTCTGTCCTCTTCATCCCACCTCCCGGGGCAATGCTTGTTCAGTTGTCTGCTGACCACAGCAGGCACACCAGCCCCTGCCCCGTCATCTGGGCTGCCCTCTCGGGGGGGCTTCGCGTTGGGTTTGCAAAGCAGCGGTGTCCTTTGGAGGAGAAAGCTGGAGTAAGTAGGAAAAGCAACCGCTTGTGATGAGCTTTTATTACTGGCAGGAAAGCAGATCCTAGGAGGGGCTGATCCACTTCAGCGCTGCCCGGGACTGATGCAAATTCAAGGGCAGAGCAAGGTCGCAATCACAGGCAGCGCTTGG